TCCAACTCTCCTGAGCCTGGGCGCTCTGCCCTCAGCTGGGTCTGGCCACTGAGGCCGACCGCTGCTTGCCAATATACCGGCGGGCCAGATCTAATTTCAGTAATTTAAAATTATTCGTCGGGCCGACTTAATCCACCAAGGGCCGGATTTGGCCGCGGCCTGGGTTTGGACACATGTGACCTGGGCCTCCCTTCTATAGGTTAAGTATTCAGACTTCCTCGTGACTCTGTTGATATAAGTCATCCAGTGCTAAGCACCGCCTGTGGCGGTCAGTAAGGATGAAATAGAACGATAGTTACATATGTAACTACGGTTCTATGAATCCCAGATGACCGCTAGAGTTCTTGGTCACTCGGAATCTCGTGTTCCCGCGAGAAGATTCCATAGGACTGAACTCGTTGACAACTCCGGAACTTATGCCTTTCGGGGTCATACGAGGTTACATGTGACTTTGTTGATATAAATATTCGACCTGCTCATGCGCGAGACAGAATATATTGAGTGCTAAGCACCGCCTCTGGCGGTCATCCGGGATTCATATCAATGTGAAGGGGTGTGGGCGGATCGCTGCCCCACAGTCACATCCAAAGTTTCCTTGTGAAAAGGTCTCATCACATGTTACTTTAATTTTTGTATTTATTATTATTAGCTTGTTTAGGATTATTATTATTGTGAGAAGTCTTGAGGTTTGGATTGCAAAAAGTTGTTTGTCATTACTCTTTTTTTCTTGAACTAATCAACACTTTATGGGCTGTATTTTAAGAACAGAATATATAAAGGAGAGCTTACTAGCTAGAGACACAATCTGCTAAATAAAGCCACAGGTTTGATAAAATTGTTTCCTTATTACACATTATTGAAACCTTAGTATTGAATATTTGTGATATCATACTTAGGACATGTTTTAGTTTGTCCTTTCTTTATGTTTGGATGGGATGTAATTGAAAGAACTCTCTAAGTCACTCTAAAAGCTGATACAGTGGAAAGTAACCACTCGATGAATGAGTAAAATGACTAGTTACTTTACAGACGTATTTTGAAAAGCATGGCAGACACTAGTGTATTTTCTCATCAAATGATGTCTGTTAATGCAGAAAAATAAATAATTGGAATTTTCCAAGGTTTTCCTTACAATTGTGTTCTTTTTGTGTGTTTTTACAGAGGACAAAATGTGGGACCAGAACCACGAAGAGGATAAGAAGCCATTACCCCAACAGATTTTATGCAATGTCAAGGGTTGCTACAGTAATCCCAGAGCACAGGAGGCGGAGAGGAGCGCTGCAGCACCAGAGCTGCCTGCTTTCTTCAGCCTGGCAGCCCTTGCTGAGGTAGCAGCCATGGAAAATGTTCACAGGTAGACACCGCTTGGACTTATTTTTCTCACTGTGGAATGTTCTAAAATATCCTTGAGTCATTAGTCAATAGAGTGCTTTTATCGCATCGCTCCCAGTGAGCCCATAAATGATAATGTCAACTAAAAGAAGACGTTATAGGCTGTAGAAATACTACTTAATGTGAGGTTTGGAGTAAAAATACACAAAAGTTAAAAAAAAGCCAATCCTCATCATCTGTTGTTCTCCTATAGTAGCACCCATCACAATTGAGACACTGCACTTTAACTCAGTTGGTAAAGCACTTTTAAGTAAAGCCTTGTATGTATCCTGTTTGACCTTTTCAGAGGCCAGAGAGGCTTGGCTGAGAACCAGAAGAAAGAGCTTAGCCAGACTCCAGTCCTCATCTCCTGCGCCGACCAGTGAAGTGTTCTGCTGTGAGGAGAAGCCACAACATGGCTCTGGCAGTGGTGGTAACCCTACACTGCAGGGAGACTTAATGAGGGAAGCTTTGGACAAACTCCACCTTACCCTTGTGTTGAATTTGCTTGAGCTTGGGTTTTAGTGGGTAAAAAGCGCTCTCCTACTCCCTGTTCCTCGCTATCTCAGTGTTTTTCCCGAATGCCTTCCTTTGGCTTGAGGGAGGGTGCCTTTCTGAACTTCTCCAACCCCCTTAGATACTCTGTTTGGCCCTGTGGAGGAACCAAGCTGTCCCCCATTGCATGGCTTCCCTTATAGAGGTGGTTGTCATGGGTTTATTGTACACCGTTTTGTCCACTAGAGGCTCTTTTTAAGGTCAAGTATTGCGATTTTAAACAATTGCATTTTATTAGGTAGGGCAAAAAACCCAACACTGCATTCCTTTTATAGACAAACACAGCTTTCTGTCACCTTTTTACCTCACACACATGCCTACTGAAGAGTTCCCTCCACCTCTGGTAGAATACCTCTGTATTTGAACAGTTCTTATCCCTCCCATTCCTTCCAGCTTCAACCCAAAATGACTGTAACCAGGGTAAATGATCATGGTGGATCGACTTTTAATACCAACTACTTGCTTAGTGTTTTCCTGTGGTACACTTATCTGGTGTACTCAAACTACAAAGAAATCATGGTTGAGTATTTGTATGTAAGATATGATGCTACTGTAAAACAGTATGTGGTAGCTATGATTAATCACGTTAGACTGAATGTGTAAGAGTAAACCTGTTCTTACCTTTGCTTCTGAACTAGAGCTGACTATAGCTGAGGGTGTTTGTTTGTCCTGCTTATCCTTTAGTCGTAGGTTCGCAGTGTCCCTTTCAGGCTTCTGAGACAGTAGCTCAGCTTCAAAACTTCTTTTTGTGATAGGGGGGGTGAGTGAAAGTGATCCAAATATAGCCTTAACCCTCCCACCTAGACCCTCCTACCCAGACCTAGAACCAGCTTTCTGCTCAATGCCATTACAGTCCTAAAGTCAGTGAAAACATTTTTCTTTGAATATATCTTCTTTTTTTTTTATTGAATAGTGAAAAGCAGTTTTATCGATAGATCTTATTGCAGTTTGCGTAGCAATTAGAAAGGTTAATTCATGTGTGTATTGAATTGTAGCTGAAGTTTGGGTTGCTCTTGAAATGGTTACACATGCCTTGTCTCCACCAGTTGCAGTGTTCTTCAAACATAGCTCTTGATAGTATCTCCTTTGTCCTCAGGCATGGCTAAAGCCAGCCACAAACCCCATCATAAAAGTTCACCAGTTTGCTAGTTTGTTGGAATATTTGTTTCATGCAATTGTTTTATACTACATGTCTCATATAATGAGCTATTTGGAAAAAACACAATACAGAGATGAAATGTTATTTGTTTTATGATTCTTTGTGGAAAAAAATATAGTAAAAATCCGACCATGCTATGTTCCTTAAAGAACTAATGGAGACAACGCATTTGATAACTGTTTCCTCTTTCTCTGTCCTATCAGCCTTTTGAGATTGTTTTGCCAAGTAATGGTCTACTCAGAGGTCCAATATAATCAATGTTTTGATTTTTAGAAGTATTTATATTGAGATGCAACTTGTGTGTTCATTTTTGGCTTTGTTTTGTTAGTGTTTAGTCAAAATCATTCCATTTCCACGCCTCTGTCTTGGACATACTTTGGTTTACAGTTAATCAGCTGTAGTAGTGACGAGGATGAGGATGAATGCAGTACCTCTGCAGGGGCGTTGTCTTCCCAAGGGTTGCTGCCACACAGAGGGTAACTGGCCAGCAATACTCCTCAGCTTCTGAACCCCAGCCTTTTGTTCCTCTGCGTAGATCAATACTTAATCTATCACATTTTAGATCCACATTTATGACTTTTATAGCGCTTTGTTTTCTATTTAATTGTTCTTCTGTTGAAGTGTTTATAATGCTCTTTTAACTAGGTCCTCTTTGTGCTTTTTTACTCTGAGGTAAGGTTTACTGGATTAAGAATGTTTTCAAAAAGATCAAGTTCATAGACTATGAATGCATCTATGCTTATCTGCTAAGCAAACAGGCACTGAGATAAAATGCACGGTCTCCAGACAATGGGTTGTCTTTTCTCCTCTGGAGGTGTGTATTTGACTGCGACTGCAGCACCATTTCTTGGATATGGTTTAACGTTGTGTTCAAGGTTCTGTCAGAATCTTAATGACAGGCAAACAAAAAACAAATGAATGGGATTTCGAGAACTCGTGCATCTTGAAATAGAGCATGTTTGCTATATCAACACATTGTTACTAATAGTTGTTGGTAATAACGTTCTGTAGGCCCTTGCGTGCAAATAGTACAGTACATGCAACAAATCTACAATTCCTCACTAAATTTGTTCCTAATAACCAACTAACTGCAAATATGTTCCAGTTAAGCTGAAGGGAATCACTCTTTGCTTTACGATAATCTTACTCATGAAATGGTATATCTATTTTTTCAGATATGAGAACAAAGTTACATTAAGGATGATTGCATCCAAGCAGTAAACTGTATAGTTCTTCCACTGGTGGACATCAGTGTAATTCTTTGCAAAGACAAAGAAATTGTCTTCCCCCAAGAAAGAGATATATTTGCTTATAGCAAGTGAGTTTATTAACATTTGCCAAAGAAAAGGGAAATGTCAATTCAATGGAAATCCTGTCTTAATTAAGAAAGCTGTCATAGCAGTTGTGCTGCATTTCCTATGTGTGTAAATCTTCAGGTAACAATATCAGCACAATTCATCCTGTGTATCTAATGGGACTTTGGTGGTGTGGAGCCCAGAGTCGGAACGAAGTGCAACAAAAGGGCACTGCTCAATGCCTCTTTTAATACACAGTACCTTAGGACCCAAACCAAAACGATCATGGTCTTTGAAGAAAAAAACGAATTCTTACCCGCTCTATGTAAATTATGCATTTTAACTATATGCGAGAGTCCAGTCAATAACAAATCCATACATCAATAAGGAGCCATAATACTGTCATTTCCCATCTCCTCACTTTTTCTATCCAGAAAAATGCTTCGATAAAGTTGATATTCCTATATTAGTTACCTAAATGACTACAATACCCTTTTGTGCTAGTACTGTCTACTTGAATGTAATCATTTTGTACCTGTATTTTTCTAATTCAGTCTTGATTGTACTGTATGTATGCTATAATGGTATACTGTTCCTTAGGTGCATAGTTCCACAACTAACAGTTCTCATGACAGGATAGCTGCTGTGCTGCGAACTCATTGGAAATGTATGGAGGTGTTTAAGTCCAAAGGACTTACTGTACCATGTGAGCATCGATGAGACTGACAACCGAGTTATTCTTTAAGCGTGGTGGGACAAAAGCTTTCCCTGCTTTGCTACTTCCTTTTCCTTTGCAGTAAAGTGAAAGCTTGATCAGGACAGTTTATTAAACAAGGACGCTCCTGCAATCACATAGAACTATTGAATGCTTGAGTTTCAACTTATTTATTTCTGTTCCTTTTTATAGGTTTAGTTGAATAAAAAACGATGAAATATAAAAGTGAATATGCATCTATTTATACCTAAACATGTATAAGATGATCAACCGTTTACTGGAATGTAGATCATGGCTTCCTTTTATCCTTTGTTTTTAGAGTTGAAGAGGTTTTGCCAGATCTTTGCAAGTCTCTTTCCACTAATTTGTACAACATGTGCTTGATCTAATTTATGCTACTGGTAATCATCATCACCGATTAGTTGTTTCTTCTTAATTGCTACAGCCCAGTGGTTAAATGCAGCCTTGCCTTACTGGAACCCAAGCTTAGTGAGGGATCCCCCCCTCCCCACAACTCCTATGTCATTACACTGTTTGCTGATGCAACTATTATTCCTTTTACTCTTTCTGCTGACGCAACTATTACTTGTTGAACACCTATTAAAATGACCTCTGTTGCATCTGTGTGAAAATATTGGTTGTTAATGCTGCTTTGTTAAAAAAAAAAAACATTGTTAGTCTCAATGAGTAACGATGTGCACCTCAACTTAAACATGGACACGGGTCATTCATTCCTCACAGGGTTTTGTTGTAGTGTACATTGAGGCCTTGAATGGTAGAACATAATAGATAATCCACAACACACTCAAACTCTAATTTAACCTCCTGCTTCAACCCCAAAAGTCAGAAGGATCGGGGCCCCTTTTTTCATTCGGCATATATTCAGTAGTTCCATATTCACTGCCCTAGTTTTTAATTGTGTTTTGTTTTATATAGAGCCAAATATCAACTCTGCGTACAAGGCTAGTTACTATACTATTAGGTATTGTCAGATAGATATGTGTCCTGCTTTGGATCTCACTAGAAGTAAAAACATTAAACATGTTGGAAGAGCTTTTGTCATGCTCTATATTTAAATGATGAGCATAAATGTTGACAGTGCCTTTCATATAGCCTACATTAATACTAGGCTTGTTTGAACGAGAATGAACGAGACCGACGCAGACCTGCGCAATTGCGATCGCCGTCTTGCTAGTGCGTTGCATGATGGTTAGTCATTTTGTCCGACTTGCTCGGTTATGGCTAGAAAGGATCCGTCTTGTGTAAAACTCTCGCGAGAGTTTGGCTGAATGTCACGTTGTTGAATGTTTACGTTTGGCAGGCAGCCTTTCAGTTACGATCGTTAACATCAGTTGGCCACAGCAAATGATGGTGAGAAGCTAAACTATCTATTAATTATGTCAATGACAGGGAGTGTGATTATTGAAATAGGGTGTTAGCGGTCTTGTTGGTGTTCAAAGAAGAATGACAACACTGTAGATCACCAACACTATGGTTTATTTTGTATTCACATGCAAGTCAACGTTGTCGCAGTAAAAGTCCCAAGATAGCTCCTGGTGCAATAAAATGTTCCCTTGCAGTGTTTTACTATTAAGTCTGATGTTTCTCTATTAATATTGCTGCTGCATTAATGTGTATGTTGCATCATGTTACTGCTGTAGATGTGTTTCCGAGCCGCTCCGATTACAACGAGAGTTACAACGAGAACGTGACGTCATATTTACGACAGTTAGACGAGAATACCGATCGCAGCCGGGGGGAGTTCTCAAAAAGCTTGCCCTGAAGTCGGGACAGCTCCGGAGTCGCTCTTCTTCTTCTCCTTCTTCTTCATCGCCTTCTTTCTTCTTCTTCTCTTCGGTTTATTTGGCGGATTGCAGACAA